TTGAATTATGATGGTCGATAGAAAAAAAGAAATAATGAAATATCGGGGACATCAAATATCACCCTCAGAAATCGAGGAGTATTTAATGACTCACAAAGCTGTACTTGAAGCTGCCGTTATAGGAGTTCCTCATGATCTCGAAATTGAGGTCCCTATGGCGTTTATTAAAAGAACTCCTGGATATGAGGTAAGTCTTCAAGAATAGTAGTTTTCTTACCTGGTGGTGCATGTCAGGCAAATATTCGTGGGACTCCTTGTGCTTGTATTGCTTGGATGTGCACTAGGTATGAAGTCTATTTTTTCTACTGAAAATTAAGTAAACGTTCAAAGGTAGCAAAAATAGACCCAATTTGGTAAAATAACTTGAACTAATCGCTTAATATACATTTTTCTTAAAATTACAAAAAATAGGTATCTGAAGAGGAGCTTGTGGATTTTAGCGCTGAGTTGGACGTTCTTAAAAAATTAAGGGGAGGTGTCAAGTTTCTGGATGAACTGCCACACACACCATCTGGAAAGATAGACAAGAAATTGCTTAAGGATTTGGCAGCAGCTTCTTTAAAGTAGTTGACATCTATGTCAACTTGAATAAAAATTGTGGGTATTTCATTAATTAACAGAGAAGTTATAGCATATTACATTGTATGGGCTGCAAAAAAATAAGTTCTAAATAACTTTTTTCACATAATCACAGTGCTTACGTGCATAAGGGCTAGAAATAACTCAAAATAAAATGTTTATTAGTGTATTTGAATCAAGATGTTACAGTACGAATAAAAATTACTTCACGAGTCCTGTCGCGTTATCAACGAATTCAAGGTATACATGAATACATGCACCTGTAACATTGAATACTATTGTGATGTTAAGGTTATTCTTTTGAAATTAATGTTTTTCTTACGTTGCACAATAAAAAAAATTTATGTATGTCACGTAATCTTGAGGTTAAACGCATCAACCAATTTATTTTAAGATGTCTGTTTGCTCAGTTATTTTCATTAGCTTATAATTATCACTACTACTTTTGCATTTAGCGAACAGTGAAAAAGTACATTCTTTATTTGTGATTTGAATATCATTTTTAGAGAGGCTAAAAATATTTTTTGATTGAATAAAACCTATCCTATTGAAAAAGCCATTCAAGGTTCTCGTATGAAGATAAAGTAATCTACTAAAGTTAAACCTTGTCAGAGAACAATGCTCTCAAACCTAAAAACTAGATTAAGTATAAGCAGAGTATACTGTAATGAACTGTAACGATCATATATTAAATAATTCTTAGGACACTTATTTTTGGCACCAAAATATTATTCATTTTGTTTCGAGTAAACATTGTATGGTTTTTCATTCTGGTAAATATGAGGAAATTCAGTGGATTCAGGTACTGAGTAATATAAATTAAATTAAAATTTAAACGAGGGTGCATAACTATTTTACATTAATTTTACTGGATTATAATTAAAATTGAAAGAAATGTTAGTGTAAATAATTTTTAAAGTTACAGTTTCGTATAAATAATTGGTAACTAAAACAAAATAATTTCAAGTAAGATTGAAGTGGAAACAGGAAAGCAAACGANTGTAGTGCTCTTTCCCAACGTCTCCCGGTATAACGTCGAAGACGTTGGTGTCTAAAGCACCTTTTTTAGTTGCAGATTCAGTTGTTTTGGTGATCTTAGATAAGGAGATTGGTTAGTGATACTTGTCCAGTAAAGGCTGTCCCGTTGGCTCCAGTTTTTTTTCCTACATAGCTGTTATAGGTTTGCCCAACGCAGACATTAGAGAGAATCAGTGATTCCTGGTTAAATGCTTAGAGTCGAGAGGGTAGTATAGGGTCGTCGGTCACCAGGTTTCCCAGCCTTGCGAAGAACAACTCTGCAGGTGACGTCTACTAGTGAATGGCTGACTTGGTTTAATAGTGCCCGTCTTTAGTTAATATAGTCTTTTAGTCGACGAATCGCTTCCGGAAATGGTAATAAAAATGTAGTTGTTGGCAAGGTAGCTTAGACTTAGGTGGATGCTAAAAAGTACCGATGAAATTGATTGTCAAGTAGGGAACGTAAATACTTATAATGGCGCTAAAAAGTGCCAGTGGTGAAACTTCCAGGCTATTCTTATTCCTGATGATGAAGAGCTGGCTTCGGTTGCTTGATTCTTGCCCTGGGAGTCTCGATGTACGGAGACTGTGATGGAGACAGGTACGATGCTGACCAAAGAATATCTCGTCTCGGGTCGTTCCCCGGATAACCAACCGCTCATCGTTAGACGGGAATATGTGGGTAAGCGCATTGGGGACGCGACGACCAAGAAGGTAGCCGGTGTGGCTGCCCATGCCCCTCAGAACTCAGAGCTGTTTTTCCTTGCTTACATTTGTAGCTACAAATTCTCTAACTGCACCAGGTGGGAATGGTGGGATGGTGGGACTACCTCACAACTCTGATGAGTTGAACCAGATTGTGATCTGGCTACATATGTCTCCTGGTATTGTGGCTGAGATGGCATTGGTTGGAATTAGTTTTTTTTTTTTTTGATCGCACTCATCGAGTTTTAGGGTACATGGACACCTAGATCCCTTCGCTCTTAGAGAAGAGTGTCGTCCGTAACCGGGATACCCAGCTGCAAGACTATCATAAGCATTTTCTATGCATCTCGTTGAGTTGCTGAATCTTGACTACAACACTATGGAGACGCTAGAGCCTTTTATAATCACACTTATTCAATTATGTTGCAGGTAGCTACGATTTTATGTCGACGCCACCTAGCGGATTTTACTGAACTAAAGAGAAAAGCTGGCATATTTTTGCAAAACTTTGAGCTTATTTATTGCTATTGTTCTCAAATTTTTTAAGATAAAACTATGCTTAAACTATCTAGGAAGTATCATGAATCAGTGTGCAAAATTTTAACGAAATCGGTTCAGTAGTTTTCGTGGTTAGCGATTACAACGGTTTTAGCGTTTCTGCTTTATATATCAGTAAGATAATTTCCAAATATTTACTAAGTTACGTGCTGGGACATTCTGAATTTCCCGCTTCTTGCGACGTTGCCGTTGCGCTTTTTTTGAACTATTATTTAATTTTTTTATTCATAAACTAATTAGACGGTCATCGCTAAACTTTGTGTACATATATTTAATAACATTATCTGTGACATATAAAAAAATTGGAGACATTCATAACGCAAATTTTTTTAGAACTGAGTTTTTATAAGTTTCCGAATAAGGGACTGTGTTAAAATGACTTAAGTTTGTAGTTCAATATCTCGGAAACGAAACAGACAAGCCCCTTGAAATTTTAACAGCTTCATTGTAACAACAATAAGAACGTCTGGTTAAAATTTCAAAAAGATTAATCACAGGGTTCTATCTCTACCGAACGTCCTTAATGATCTTGGTCTTTTGATTGAGATGCAGCCATTGATATGGTGGTACCAGAATTCTCCACTACTTACATGCAAATGATTATACAAATATTCCAACAATGATGGTTTTCGGTCGCAAAAAGCGTTAAAAATCTATAATTATTTTATAATTTTGCATCAACGTAACAATAAAGGCCATGGTTTATTCACCTCATACTGTTATAGTTAAATAGTCATTAATTATAAAACATGTTTTGAAAATCAAATTTATTAACCACATGTATTTCAGAAACCGCTCGCCATCTCATGAATCTCATTCGACCAAAAATCATTTTCTCGTGCGCGTCAACCGCAAACTTCCTACGAGACGCCGCACAACTCGAGGGCGTCAATGTTGATCATATCGTTGTTTTCGAGCATCAGAAACTATTCCCTCAACTTAGGGATATCCTCGAAGAGAATAACAAGTCCATAGAGGCTTTTAAAGCTGTTGATTACAGCTTGGAGGACGAAGTTGCAATGATTGTCTTCTCTTCCGGAACTACGGGCCTTCCAAAGGGCGTATCTTACTCTTGCAAAGTTATCAAGAATCTTTTAAATAACATAGTTGCTTTCCAGCGCAACTACACGAATATACTCTGGTACTCGCCTCTTTATTGGCTAAGTGGAACCTTACATCTTTTTTTAACAACCCTGGGCTTCACGAAACGAATATTGCATTTAAGTTTCGATCCCGAAGACACCTGTCGCGTTATTAACGAATTTAAGGTAAACATGAATACATGCACCTCTAATATTAAATGCTATTGTGATGTTAAAGTTTTTCTTTTGAAATTTATATTTTTCTTACGTTGTGGATGAAATAACGAGAAGGTTGAGTATTTATTTATTCCTCCGACACTGGTCACTCACCTCTGCAAATCTCGAGTACTCGAAAAATACGAACTCAACTCACTCAAGCTTATTTCCACTGCCGGGGCAAATTTGGGCAAGAAATTTATTGAGCAGATCAAGAGCCACCTGCCTAACGTTTGTTTCAGACAAGTTTACGGTAGTGTTATAAATTTTACCATATTATAACATAGTTAATTTTTTTAAGTGTATATACTGTGCTTTTATCATAGCTCGGGTATCAAAGTCAAGTGTGTTTAGTTAGTTATAAAATCAAAAGATTCTTAAACCTTTTCCGTTCAAAGTAAATACATACACCGAGTAAGTTTCTTTTAAATATTTAAGTACGTTTTCTATAACATCATGCTCTTGTCCTCAGCACTTTTTAGAAAGAAGAACAGTGTACAAATACTCTGTGAATTGATTAGCCCATTACTGAAAACTTAAAATTCAAAACCCTTGCTTTTCTATATCACCATATAAACGCTGTTCAAAATATACCTTGGACTTTAGTACAAATAAGGTTATGAGTTTTTTTTACAACAAATTTGTTCAAGCACTACGATTTGTATATTGCTTATACATGGCCCGTAAATATGAGAATACACAATCAATAAGGTATTTTTTTAGTATTCTTCGAGTTTCTTACGTATTACTATATAATTAAAATGACGTAGCCTCCAAACACGGTACAAGTATCGTGTACTACTTTTTTTCGTTAGTTATGATTAAATAGTATACAAATATAAATTGTTAAGTTAATGTTATGTATTTATTGAATGATTTTCTAACAAACTACTATTTCAAAAAATGTGATAAAATTAAACTCAGTTTAAAAAAACAACATAAATCATAATCTTAAGAGTGAGATGTAAAAAAAAAATATTATTTTTAAAAGACAAAAATGTTTATATTTCGTAAGTTAGTCAACGGAAATATAAACGTTTGAGAAAGTAATTAAGAATATCTTAATATATACAAAAATAGGTACGGTATACTTGGACCTTACATGGATATAAATTGTAAGCCAAATGTTTACTCTTCATGGTTACATCGAGAAGATCCTTGGTTTACGAGTAAAACATACCAGGTTAGCGGCCCGGTGATGAGGCAATTTTTTTTTATTTTGTATTTTTCTATTATTAAAATTTGTTTATAAATTAAGGTAGTGACAATGTACTTGAAAATATTTTTTTTTAATTCACAAAAAATTTTGGTACCTACTTATCAAAAAGTATTCTTATTTGGTTCTTCTTGATTGAATAAAGTAATATTTTTGCTGTAAAAAAAAGAATGCTTTAAGATTTTAAACATAGTGGACGTTCACGTTTACTTAAAGGCCCAAATAATTTTTTTTTTTTCGTTACTTTTTGGAAAAAAGAATTCTTCTAGAATTCTTATTGACTACCATGTAGTAAACTATTTGCGTGTATATTGGATTTTTTCAATATACACAACCATCTTTTAGTTTTTTCATCCATGATTGTAAAAGAATTTTATTATTTATAATAAAACATTCACTTCTTTATTGTAATGGACTTTTCGTAGTTACAAACTATAAATCATATCAAAATATTTCATGTTTACGGGCAGTAAACGGGCAGTGTATGGGCAGTGTGCGCAATGACTAGTGTACGGCATCTGTACACAGCCCGTACCCGCGCCTGGTAACACATTTCAAGCAGCCCCTGAGGATTTTCTTACGGTAACAGTATGCAGGCGGTAGATTTCTTTACGGCAGCCATAATCTATTTTCGATCGGGAATTCAACATGCTTCCCCGACTCCAATCAGCTTGGAAGCGGTCGAGTTTTGCCGTCTTGAAGGCTTCTCCGATGTCTGATCTTTCCTCGACTTTAAATACGACGTCGTATATGTGTATATATATATATATATATATATATACTTATACATGCAGAAATAAAAGTTGGTTACCTCTCTAGTTCATGAGTTAATTTGGCACTGTCTACACTTAACCCCCTTTTTCACGAGACGACAAATTACATCACTTCTTTTAATCGTATTTTTCTCCCCCTCGCATAAAACTGGCCTTATCTGAATTTATGTTCAAAATTTGTCCATAAATTTATCATTGTAGATTGTTTAATGAAACTTTGTACTAAATGATTAACAGCACTTATTGTACTTTATTTCTACTAGTAAGACATTTTTTTCTTGAAGGGTTGACAGAGTCAGGTGGAAATTTAACGGTAACAACGAATTCCTGCGAGAGAATAAACTCCGTTGGCTTCATCGTTTCAAACTCACAAATAAAAATAATCGATTTAGAGAGTGGTCAGGCTCTCGGCCCAAATGAATCCGGCGAAATTTGCTTCAAAACGGCTAAAGCCATGCTCGGTTATTACCGCAATCCAAAGGCGACCCAAGAGATGATAGACAACGAAGGTGAGAAGCTTCAGTGGACAATAATTTTTTAATCCAAACAAACGTTTATTTTAATACAAACAATAAATAAGTATTTAAATTAATTTAATATTTTTTTGAATAAAATATTTTTTTAAATCTAGTAAATAATTTGTATATAACATCATGTTAAATTTATTTATCTAAATACTTACGTTATCTCAATGAATACTAGTTGTTTGTGATTGAATTAACGTTTATTTGGATCGGCTTCATTTTTTTTCAGTGTTCGTTGCAATACTTATTCAAGATTAAAGGCTTATGTGATAAATAATAATTAAAACTAAACCAGGATGGTACCACACGGGTGACATTGGCTATTATATGAAGAATGGTGAGATTATGATGGTCGACAGAAAAAAAGAAATAATGAAATATCGGGGACATCAAATATCACCCTCAGAAATCGAGGAGTATTTAATGACTCACAAAGCTGTACTTGAAGCTGCCGTTATAGGAGTTCCTCATGATCTCGAAATTGAGGTCCCTATGGCGTTTATTAAAAGAACTCCTGGATATGAGGTAAGTCTTCAAGAATAGTAGTTTTCTTACCTGGTGGTGCATGTCAGGCAAATATTCGTGGGACTCCTTGTGCTTGTATTGCTTGGATGTGCACTAGGTATGAAGTCTATTTTTTCTACTGAAAATTAAGTAAACGTTCAAAGGTAGCAAAAATAGACCCAATTTGGTAAAATAACTTGAACTAATCGCTTAATATACATTTTTCTTAAAATTACAAAAAATAGGTATCCGAAGAAGAGCTTGTGGATTTTAGCGCTGAGTTGGACGTTCTTAAAAAATTAAGGGGAGGTGTCAAGTTTCTGGATGAACTGCCACACACACCATCTGGAAAGATAGACAAGAAATTGCTTAAGGATTTGGCAGCAGCTTCTTTAAAGTAGTTGACATCTATGTCAACTTGAATAAAAATTGTGGGTATTTCATTAATTAACAGAGAAGTTATAGCATATTACATTGTATGGGCTGCAAAAAAATAAGTTCTAAATAACTTTTTTCACATAATCACAGTGCTTACGTGCATAAGGGCTAGAAATAACTCAAAATAAAATGTTTATTAGTGTATTTGAATCAAGATGTTACAGTACGAATAAAAATTACTTCACGAGTGAGTAAGTAGTATACTACGTGCCAAAGGAGAAAAATATAGCATTTCCTTTAATNAAATTTGATAAATAAATCATGCGTGTACAGCTTAAAAGTAAATTTAAAAAAAAATCCGCCACTTAAACTCGTGTTCGCAATATTTTCCTTATAGTGAATGACATTGTGAGAAAATTTAACATAATCTAAAAAGGGTGCTGGTAAAAAAAATTTTATCATATTGCAAAGCATATGGCGGGACCATGCCTTAGTAAAAATAGCGTCATTTACGTGTCACAGTAAGCTTATACATACAACTCTAATTTGTGTGCCTATTTATATGTTACTATTATATAAAGAGACAGCGTTTGTTTGTATGTTCGCAAAAATCTCAAAAACTTCTGTACCACTTGATCCCAAGTTATAACAGAAGTTCAATTACAACTTCAAATGTGTCATATATAGGCTATTGAAATTAACGATAACTTAAGTAGAAATGTTTTGCAGTGGTCTGATGGTTCAAGAGCCATGAAAAATAAGGTCACCTGTGTCTTGTATAAAAAATTGATGGCATTATTAAATTCAAGGTGGTTTTTCACTCTGCTAACCCTGTTGAATGGTCCCGATAAAACACGATAAAAAAAATTATATCAGGATAGATGTGTGTCTTTGCACCAAAACCTGATAAATTGATCAGTGTTTTCGTATGAATATCCCAGGATAATTTTATATCAACTTTATAGGATAATACAAGTTTTAAACAGTATTGTAAAATATATAAATTTTTTCCGATT